TCTCTCCCTCTCTCTCTCTCTCTGCCCCGTGTCTCTGTGCGTGCTCGGCAAATCCATGATGTGCCTTGTGTGGCATGGCCACCGCAAGGGCAAGTGATGGCTCCTACATCCTAGACGACGAAACAACTTTACCATCGGTGTCTCAGCGGGTCCCACGAGTTTGGCATGGCCGTGCGGATTTTGGAGTGGATGGTTGTCCCAAACCCGATGAAGGCGAAGGCAAACCATCCCCAAGCTGTCCGTTTGCAGCACAATGTGAGATAGATGGATGGTTCATGTTGATGACAAAGGGGTCGCACCAAAGGCAGGTGCGTTTATTTTATTGTTAACTTGTCTCGCTCGTGTCAAGCCAGCCAAACATGCAAAGTGAGCAGGCACCGCAAGCAAATCACATACTCTAATCACCCTAACATCCAAACAGAACAACGTAACAAGCGGATGTATGATCCATGTAAGCTCGTCCTGAGCATGTCCCAAGTTCCATTTCCCCTCCTGTGGTGGCACCAAGACGGCCGAAACGGCAAGAGGATCGTCACCGAACCAATGTAGGGGCACAGGTTCCCCTGAATGACATGGGAAATGTAGAAAGAAGTGTGGGGAAGGACCCGAAGAGAGAAACATCCTGATTGTCCCGAGCGGTGCGCATCCTTTGCTTGCCCATACAATGGGCGGAACACCACAAAAGTGTAGAAAACCCGGACAGGTGTGAGGGGAGGAGAGACAAGGAGAAGACTTCCAGGGTCTCAAGCGACTGTTCTCCTCGCCGTGTCCGAACGCCTTGCAGAGCAAAGAAGCGCTGTGTCGGCTTTTCACCTGAGGTGTGAAAGACGTGGTCTTGTTGAGTTTGTGAGGACTGAGTGGCCAAACAGGCTGTGTTCTTTTTTTCGTCACAGAAAGTGTTGCGTCGATTTAGAGAGCAGAGGGCGGCAGAGGGCGTCTGCAGCTGCCCGGCTGCGAAGCGGCCCTGGGCCCACTGGACCCTTGCCACGGTGTCAGCTCGGCGCTCCTCGGCGGCCCTGCTCTAAGTTGCACACTACGTGCAAGCCGTGCAAGTTGTGCCTCTGCGAGCTTCAAAAGGATTTTCTGAAGCGACTGGCGATGTGCAGAAGACACGAGTAGTTGGATGTGGGAGTCTAGGTCCTTTTTCAAACAAGCTCCCTTCATCGCTAGAGTCCGCTAGAGGCTGCTAGAGTGTTCCGCAACAGTGCACCTGCAAAAATGCACCTGGTAGATGCAAGAGGTGAAAGCTGGTGGATGCAATCTGTTTGTCATTGTCTCAATGATCGCTGGTAGCCCCATGACGGACGCTGACAATCACGGTGACATCGCAGCAGTGGAACTCGTCAGTACCGTAGAGTTTCAGATGACAGGAGCTCCGTTTTGCAAGACTAGAGACAAGTCCATGCTTGGATGTTCCTCACTCATGCCTTGGGCTCAGCATGCAGCCGCCCACTCAGCTGTGATGAATCACTCCGCAGACCCGAAGGCAGAAGACTCGCAAGAACCATCCCTCCGGAACCTGGGCCCCTGGCGCCCAGAGCGCCCTGCGAGGCCCTGCGAGGCCTGAGCCCAAGCCGCTCCCTTTGCTCCGACACCCCTGAAGCAAAGCATGTCCTGTGCCTCCCCTCTGACTTCCCATGACTCAGATTGGTTCAAGAGCGAGTAGTTGGGCAAGCCCACCGTTTCCATGGCACAACCAGGGCAGGTTGTCCCTGCCACGATGCCCCGTCGCATCGTGGAAGGGGTTCTCGTGCAGCGACGTGGCGATGTGCAGGTCCCAAGCCTGGGGAATATAGAACGCCCCCTGCCGTATCCGAAGCAGAGGTTGATCGTCCCCGGCAAGGACACAAAAAGTGCACAAAGCCCCAGTCCGAAATCCGATGTGCCTCGGTCTGGCAGTCCTCCTGACCGTGACATCATGGATGCCTTCATAGAGGAGATGAGCTTTCCACCAAAGCAAAAGCTCTTGGAGGTCCCCGGCAGCGTCGGTGCCAAGGAAGCTCGTTCTGCCAGCCCAGCCTCCGGCGGCACGGACGAGGACGGTGAGGAGTTGCCAGAAAGCCTGAACAGCAGTCGGGCCTCGTTTGCGGAGCCCAGCAAAATGGGGAGAGCCAAGCAGCAGCTTGCTGAGCTTCTGGAGATTTGGCGAAGCAAGCGCCACTCGTGCGATCCATCCGAACCTTTGCTTGAGGAAGAGAGGCAGCGTATTGAGCGGGTCCTGTTTGAGACCATGCCACCAGACCGGGTTAGCATTGTGGAGGTGCGCAGGGTCGTGAAGCCTTCACTACTGCGAAGGTTCTGCGAGGAGGAGAGAGATTCCCTTCAGAAGCAGGCCACCAAGCCTCAAGATTCAGAATGAGTGTTGTTTACTGTCCCTTCTGCTATTCACTGTTGCATGTCTCTTGCTTGGCCGGTGATAATGTCACTGTAGGTGTCATTAGCGGTGCGAGCGAGTTTTTCATGTCGATGTTTCTGTTTCTGCCTGCACCAGGCCAACCAGCAGAAGACGCACAAGCAGTTCATGCTCTTGCACGGCACGCGCTGGGACTATGCACCCCTGATTGTTGAAAATGGTTTGGACCCAACTTGCGGGCATCTTACAAAAGGGACATGGCTTGGCGGAATCGCAGAAAAGGCACATTCCTATGCTGCCAAAGGGCCAGGCCCGGAGATCGAAGCAGAGAATCCGGGGGGCAATCGACTCTTTACCTTGTTCGTGGTAGCTGTTGTGCCAGACATCAGCGATGGCGATGATGAGAGATCCTTTGGAGTGTGGCGAATCCAGTCTGGCCGTCGGCTGTATACAGCCTACCAGGTCATTTACTCTGCCCCGATGGACTTGCGCCGAAAGGCGCCTTTGATCGTTCCACGATCCAACAAAGCAGTGCTACTTCGCAAGCAGAGTTATGACAAGATTGAGACACTGCCATCGAGCCGAACTGGTCGGTGCCGAAGTGCCAGCCCCCCGAGACGATCAACTTCTCCAGAGCTGCCCGTCGCGCTTCCTCTGGATTTGCCGAAGCCCGCAACGGTGACCCTGAAGGACCAGAAGGAGCTTGATGCAGCCAGCAGTTGGCCACTGGACGGTATGCGCTTGGGTGGCCTTCGGGGCGCCTGCACTTCCCCTGCTCTGAAGGCCGGGGGGTGTCTTGTATGTCTTGTGAGGTCATGTGAAACAGCTTTCGATCTGCAGGTACATCAGCCTGGGGCAGAGCCTTCCCGAGCAGTCTTCCGCCGAACCTCGGCCCCCAAGGTCGTTGAGGCGGCAGGGCCGGTTGCCCCAAGCACAAAGGGCATTACCGAACACCGCGACCGGGCCCCACCGAGCCCTGCCTCTCGTAGTCCTTCTGGTGGGGCGACCCCCAGCCCCAGGCCTTCTCGCACCTCTCCTGCCTTGAAAGTGCGGCAGCCCGATGCAAGGCCGCCTCCGAGCCCACGCACCCAGGCCCGACCCCTTGATCTCGGTCCGCCAGCACCCAGATGGGAAGTCCTCCTGGATGATGGATGGGTCCCGTTCTGCCCCGGAAGCAAGTTCAAAGATGATGCGGGGACCAAGGTGAGTATTTGTCATGGCCAGTTTTGGTACACTCTTACTTTCGATGCCAACGGCACCACAGGAAAGCAAGCAAACCAGCGCACTGGTAAAGTTCGTCAACTTCGCAAGGTGCTGCCTGAGACTGGAGTGGCTTGGCACAACCGGCAACCCTTCTGTTTTGGGAAGTCCTTGGCACATCCTTGCACCAAGGCTAGCATCTCAAATGAACAGATTGCAGCGACCACTGAGCACAATGCTCCAGAGTCTGAGCAGAAGCCGGCAGTGGCGCCTCGCCCTTCGAACCCCCTACCTCCTGCAGTGGGCTGTACTGTGCGTTGCATCGCATCTCACGCTCACTTCTGCTGACTAAGGCCGATGCTTGGTTTCCGAGTTTGCTGAATTCCAGTTCTCCTGTTAAACAGGCGACTTAGGCAGTCCCTGATACACCATCGGTGCTCAGTGGCCACTTCCGAAGACACGCTCAGCCTGCGCTAGGGAGCGACACATTCGTTCAGATCTGCAGTATGCTACATGGTGTCAGCGGTTCTGGCTACGAATCCTTGATGTACAGCTCGCCAAGGCGAACACAGCCCTTGGCAGCTGTTTCTCACAAAGGCATGATACTGGCATGTCTTTGAATAGCAGCTGTCCACACAAGCCTGGACACACTGCTCCTTATTCCTAGATGGTGAATGTCGAGGACGGAAACCTGGTCTTTAAGCCAGACACAACAAGCAGATCTCAGACGGACTCAGACGTTCAACCAAGGGCAAGCCAAGGTTGCGGGCAAGTTAAGCTTGCGCACGGGCTTACCTTTTTTGGATCCTAGCACCGACCTCATTGGCATGAAAGAATGATCGTATCTCTGTTGTCGCCTCTCGCACAGCATGATGAGAGCTGTGCTAAACTCACATGGGGATGACATTGTGCACACAGTGTCTCAGTTTGCGACAGCTTTATGGTTCAGGCCTAGGGCTCTCAAGCAGGACAAAGTTGCTTGTAGAATCATGGAGGTGTTGGTAGCTGCCCCAGACTCTGAGGCTCAGCCCGTTGAGTGCCCGTCGCCGACCCCGGCGCCCCGACCTCGACCCAGCCCCAGCTACGGACCCAGCAACTCTGCCCGCCGTGCGAACCGCCACCGAGGAACGTCTCCGCAGGAGCCTTCCTTGAGTGGAAGCCCGTCCCGACCCAGCACCGCACCCACTCCTGAACTCAAGAGTCTCCTGACATCCACGCCACGGTCAAACCGTCAGGCATGCCCAAGTCAGGAGAAGGAGAAGGGGGCCGCGTCACCAGTCACACGGCCCCGAATGGAACACTCTCCAGCCAAGAATCGGGTTCAGGAGCACTCGCCTCACTCGCCGACCAAGAACCTGCTCAGCACTCCAAGCACGTTGACGGCGAGTGCAAAGGCATTGGCTCCGAAAACGACCGTACCACGGGACTATGCACGTTGCCGTGCCCGATCACAAAGCCAGCCGAAACGTATGGGGGACACCTATGACCTGGCTCGCTTCACGGACGCTCAGAAGGAGAATGACACCTTCGACCGTGCTTTGAAGGAAATCCAGGCAGGCCGCAAGACGTCCTGCTGGATGTGGTTTGTGATCCCTTCGCCTCCACACATGAAGAACAACATCGAGCATGGCAGCAGCCTGAACCGCAAGTACGCCATCAGGCCGGGCTAAGGCTGCTAAGGCTGCTCTAGGAGGGCTAGGGCCAGAGAGATCGACCTGCTCAGGTCCGACGAGGAAGGCCGGGCCTGGCTGAACTACGAGGCGGATGGTGTGGACCTGCGTGCAAACTATTTCGCCATCCTCGAGGCCCTCTGCGAGCATTTGCTGGCTGGGAAGGCAGCGCGTTCGGTGATCGGCAGTTTTGACGAGCCCAAGCTTGCGAGCTCAATTTTGTTCTTCGAGCGGTTGTCTCGCAACGAAGACAACGAGCTGAACACCTTGCTCGTGAAGATTGCAGGCCTCATGGAGCTGCAGATCACGCCCTGAGCTGAAGTGCTGAAAGCACGCTGAAGGCACTCACAAGAGTTGAGTGACTTCATCGGCTACCCTTGGCTTAACCTTGGCCGTTTTTTTGCGCGGCAGAGGCGGTCACTGCGGGACCCACCTGTTTCGGCCTGGCATGTGACTTGACCGCCACCATTGGACTCCAGACTAGACCTCTGAGTCGAGGAAAAGCAAAGTGCGAGCTGCACCTTCGGGGTTCTGCCGATAGAGCACCATCTAGAACCAAGCACGCGACCAGCAGGCCATGCTGATGTCCCGCTTGCTTGCGACGTCGCCGGTCGTGCAGAGCCGGAAAATGATCTCTTCCTTTTGCCAACATCTTCATCATAGCATCTTGCTGTCACACCGCTTTTGCCACGCACGCACTGTCTGGCTCCGAAGGACGATTTACTGACGTTTCAGAGAACGAATCCATATAGGGTGGTGGCAGGTGCCGGGGCTCTCTTTAGCCATGCCCCATAATGCCCTGTGGAAGAGGTTCGAGCGACGTACCCGCATGCACCACTATGCACCCTTCCCTGCACCCGAGCCCGCACGGTACCATTTGCCCGGCTTGCCACCACCCAGAATCACGCCTTCATCGGCTATTACCAGCTTTTCGCAGCTTGGCTGGAGAGGAGTTCGTGTTAGTTCTTGTTGCTTGATTCCTGGCGTTTGAATGGACCCCCGGTTCGTTTGTAAATGACATCGGGGATCAGCAGCGAGAAAAAGCTGGCAAGACAGAGTTTGGATCAGGAAGCTTCATGCTGCGGACTTGCATTGCCATTGCAATCATCTGCGAAGCCAGGGCCCGAGATGTCGAGGTCGGCGGTTGCACTTTAGCCTTTGACATTTTAGTGTTCAACCCTCAGTGTGCTGACAGCAAGGTGCACTCGAGACACTCCAGGGTTGCATGCTGAAGCCTCGAAACCCAAGAACAGTCACCACGATCTCAACTCAGAGGGCTTATGTCCCAACCCCAAGAGGACGGATGGAGGTTCGACCTCCTAGGCCCGACAGTCAGTAGGAAACTACGTTGACGTTTCATTTCCAAACCGCAAGCGGACAATGGACCCGACGATCGGCGATGCTGAGATACCTTGCCCGTGCCCGTGACAGTTGGCACCACCGGGTAGCATCATTGACACTGCTTGTTTCCTGCGGCTATCTCGAGCCTCGTCCGGTCGAGTGAAGGCGGTTGATGATGTGGGAAATGCTTAGTGCATGCTGGTCTTTCGGCATAGGTAACGCCTTATTTGCTACGGTTCTGTTGCAGGGGCTTGTGTCGTTGGGTCATGAGCTCTGTCCTGCGCATGTTCATAGCGGCGCTAGGTACTTTGAGCAAGAATCGTGATTCTGGCCGCTCAGCCCTGTTCAATCTTTGCCGATTTGAGGCTCTCACAACTCCTGCCAGACATGTGGCCAGCACCACAGTGTGCAGAAAGAGTCAGGTTCCGTGCAGGCACCCACGCTGACGTGAAGAGCCCCTGTCTTGTTTTGAGGTGCCTTTACACAGGCAGCGGGTGCCTGTGCAAGGAGAGGATGATCGAATTTCGCTGGAGACTCGGGACGTCACGTGTTCATCGCCTGGTTTCCCAGGATTAGCTACAGTAGCAAATGATGTGGAGAAATTGTTTTGTTTGTGATACTTTGGGATGATCTGGTTGGCTGGAAGGTACAAGAGCGTCTACTTTGGGTCCGTAACCGTCGGCGTCCTCAGCGTGCTCCGAGGGCTCCAGCTCGCGTGGCATCCGCTTCTCCCAAGGTGGGCTCTCCTGAGCAGAAGTTCGCAGTAGTTTTCGACACCGGGTCTGGCAATGTCCTTACCTCTTGGCTTGAACAGTTGCTGGCGAGATGTCTAACCTCCTGTCGGAAAGTGCTGTGATGACTGCAGGTCATGTCATCATTCCTTCGAGTGAGCATGTGCCTGAGCGAATGTGTGCAACATGCCACAATCGCCTGCAGCCAATGTTCCCCAGGTGCCACAGCGAGACCTGCCGGATCCACAACCGGTACAGCAGAGAGGCAGATGGAATCATTGGCAGCATGAAATTGAAACTGACATGCCCTGTGTTCGGCATGTCTGGATTTTCTGCTCGCAGTGCGTTCAAGGCTTCACCCGCCGCAGTTGACGTTGACTACGACGGATCTCCGGTGCAAGCAGGCCCGATACCCGAACAAATGAACCAAGAAGGCTGTTGAGGAAGCGCATGCGGCAGGATCCCCACGGGACCAGATTACCGTTGCCTTCGGGACAGGAGAGGTAACGGGACAGTTCGTGCAAGACAGGCCAGGATCCTGCGCAGCAGCACGTTTCCGATATCTTCCGCCTTCCCAGGCTTTGCCTTGGATCGCATGGAGCTGCCCCCGCTGCCCCGGCCATCGCACGTAGCCAAGCCTTTCGCTGCATGGTGGCCTGAGCTCGTCAGTTTCTCCAAGCGACATGGTCCCACAGTTACTGTTGGATGCTTTCCCATTGCGCGCATGCCTTCAAGGCAGTGCCCTCCTACACAGAGCCGTTGCTACTTGTTCAGTCCGTGACCCAGAAGCTGTTCCTGATGTGTGGCGTCCTTTGGCATCCCGACCAGTTTGTCATTGCTAAGCCCGGGGTCTGTTCACGTCTGTTCTCTGTGGCCTATGGACCCAAAGTGCTCTCAGGTTCCACAGAGGCCAGAACAGCCTCCAAATTTCAGCAAATTCTGCCCAAGACGGGTTCTTCTGAGGTCTGGAGAAGCCGAGCTGGGCAGAACTCAGAGCGCACAAAAAGGCTGCGAGCCCAGCGATAGAAGACAGGACCTGCCGCGAGTCGCACACTACGATCTCTGCCCTTATCACCCATTGGCCCATGGCATGTGATGCACATTGCTTCCGCATATGTTTGCACAGTTAGCGCGGAGTTCCGACGGAAAGCACGAGCTGCAAGAGCGCTACACCTTAGACAGCTAAGATCTGCAATCAGTTCTGTGGGCTGGGGTTCGGATCCTTGATGTTCTATGACATGCTTGAAGCCGCTTGACTGCTCAATACCAAAGTTTGGTACCGGAACTTTTGAACACCTGCTGCTTGACCTGTCATGCAGCATGATGGAACCAGTGCGCGAGGCCTGACCAAGGCCCTTGGCAACGCATCCAACGCGATGCTTCTCAGCCAAGCGGGGTCCCAGCAAGTTTTGTCACGTTCATGCACCATTCTTGCGCGTCCATCACATTGTGATACTACAGCGGAGCTTAGCCTCAGATCGACCGAAACTCTTCAATCATGTACTGCCAAACACAAATTTACATACTGCGAAGTCAGGATTACCTGCAACAGCCCGAGCAATGTCTAGCACCAGGGTGTCGCCTTGAAGTGTCCTAGGCCCTGAACTGCGTGGACCTCCGACTAGTCATGGCCACGGAGGCCCGCCGAGACATCGCAACGATGCTGGCTCCGGCTTGGCTTCAAGCCACCCCGCGAAGCGCACAGCACGGCTGTGAACATCGAAGATCGCACTTCAAAGCCTGGAGTAAACCCCGAAGGTGGAACCGCGAAAGTCACTTTAGGCCACAGTCTAAACCCTCCAAGATGGGCAAACTCTGCAGAATGGACTGCCGCCAGATGACGGAAGAGCCTTTCCACGCCTTTTCCTTCGATGGGGTGTTGGGCCTGGGGCTGCGACCTTGGCAAGCTGCAGGGCCGTAAAATGAATCCTGGGCTTCCTTGCTGACGCATCTGCGTGATGTCGTTTTTGGGGCTCAAGCAACTGGCCTGTACATGAAATGGGCCCCGGCCACGAAGAGGCAGCTGCGAATGGCATGGGATAGTGCTTCTGCTTATGTCTGCTTCAGGCATGTGTCAGCGATATGAGGGATGTTGCTGAGCTCCTGGACAGTGGAACGGGGGCTGATTCCAGTCTGCTCTCATTACTTGCATCGTTAGAATGATGTGCTCTGAAGTCCGAATACCTGATGTCAATGTGCCCTTGCCCAACACGACGGCTTGCCTCCTGCCCAGACCCGGTCATGGTGCCAGACAGAGGCAGGAATCGCGGCAGGCACTCATCCGTCTCACCAAGGCTGGGAACTGCTGGGCTTGGAGAGTCACACCGAGACTTCCTGAAGTGTTGACGGATGAGGGTTGATCCTGGAATCCTCCACTTCTCACCTGCTGCGCACGTGGTCGACTGCCGGTCACTCCACATCGTGTGTTCAAGGACTTTTGAGACCCTGCCTCGCATGCTGAAAGGAGATCAAAAGCTCCAGGAGTTGGGAGACCGCTCTGCAGCCAGAAGCCTAGCCCCACCTCAGGGTCCCAGATCCGCAATCTGTGAATCACACGCGCATGCCCTCACATCATGTTCCTTGCGAGCCTTGCAGCAAGACCGACAGGATACCCATGTCTCCTGGAATCACAGCATCTTATAGGTGTACTGGACGCTTGGCGAAAGATCTCAACACCAGCTAGACTCAGCCGGATGTCAAGGTTGCTCCAAGATGTGCTGCCGACGGTCTCTGTTGACCTCATCGTGGTGTCGTCAGGCTTGAGCACTTGGACGTTCTCCTGAATGTTTTGCAGTTGGTGCCAAACAAGGCATCGGAGCCTGCGCAAAGGGCCAGCAATGGCGCCAAGCACTACGTGTTCTCGGCCTCGCCAGAGGGGCAGCCTTGGAGTCGGACCGAGATTTTACAGAGACACGAGAGTCACGAGATGTCACGAGAGTTGCTGAGTCGAAAGTCGAAAGATGTCGAAAGGACCTCCAAAGCATCAGTGCCACGATCACGGCCTGCGAGAAGTCCGCTCGCTGGTCTCCCGCAGCTCGGCCTGTGCTTTGGCTTCGGTGCTCTTTGGCTTCGGATTCTCTTGTCAGCTTTGATGCTGTTCGTGACTGCCCAGGCACTCCGCTGTATGGATTCCATGCTTTGCGGGCAATTGGAGACGGATGCTGTCGCGTTCAGTGCGCTGGTGAGTGCTCGCAGCAGCAGTCAGACCTGCCAGCGCGTCTCGAAGGCTTTGAAGGCTTGGTTGGCAAGACAGTTCGGACTGCAGGTCAGCAAGACCTCTTCCGCCTGGGTATGCCTAGATGTTGACGCCGGTTCCAGTTTCGAGTCTGCTTTCAGCCCGCTTGGGGCTGTTCTTCCCGAGGTGCTTGTGGTCAGGGCAGTGCTTGGGCACGGGCGCTGTGCATTTTTGCCACGGCAGCTTTGGGTACCATCGCGTGCCTTCTGCGAGAATTCTTGCTATGCAGGGGTCGAATTCGAAACCGATCAAGGAGCGACAGGAGTCAGAAGGCAAGGTTCGGAGTCTTGAGGGGTTCGTCCGGCAGCTCCTCGGGCATCGTGGCGACTGAAAGTTCCCGATATGATTGATTCCGATACAAGTCCGAACTATGCACTTTGCAGAGCCGTGTGTATTCATTGAATGTGCACACCACCGTGCACCGATGGTACTGCCAGGTGCAACTCCGCGATTTCTGGCTGTGAGCGTGCCGGGCGGTGGCAACCTGCCCTTCAAACTCTGCAAAGCGGCTTTCACAGGATGGGACAGAGAGATGGAAGCCTAAGCCCCGGCTTGAGCCAGCGAGAACGCCTTGCAGGAGACTCCCACCCACGATTATTGGATTCAATGCCGCGATAAGCGCGTCGGAGGAGGAAGGTTCGATGCAAGGGATGCTTGAGGCTTCCACGATGTTGTTGTGCATTCACCAGCCGGAGAAGGATCTCAGTGCTTGCCACTGGCCTCGTTGCCATCCTTTGTATTTCTGTGTGCGGCCTCCTGCCTGCTGCAGAAGCGAGCCAGCCAAACCAGCCTTGTTTCGCAAACGACAATGATGATGCTTAGTACCTTCAGGATCGGCAGTGGCAAAGATCCTGCTCCCTCTTCACCTCGCTTCTTGAGGCGCAGGGGCGGTCTTGCGGGGCACTTTGCAGGGGAGGGGGGGGGGGTCCTTCGTTCTTACCGACCCGCCCAATCGGCTTTGCTTCCTTGCAGCTGCAAACATCCGGAAACCAAGGCTTGTAAGGATTCGTCATTCCGATGCGGCGGATGCCGAGCAAGTCGTTGCCTGAACAGAACCGAAGATGCTGAGCTCTTACTGCACAGCATCGATGCCAACTGAGCTGCCAAGCCTTCCGCTCTTTTTCGAATCTGATGCGGTGCCGTCTGAATGAATCTCCGCAATTTCGCTCAGCCGAGCTGCTGTTCTACACCCCGCAACAAATTCGTCGCCAGGTTCCGCTGGTGCCCAGCATCGTCAGTTTCGGTGCGGCTGCCTCTTCGCTTGCCGCCGCGCGTAGGTGGAGGTGCAGCACTTCAGATTCAGACAAGATGCAGTCATTTGGAGTTACTGCTTAGTGGCTGGAGCCAAAGGTTAGAAGGTTCCTGGAGAGAAATGAAGAGCGAAAGGTGACACCTCATTGGCGATATACGATGCATTGAATGGGACACCGACATGCTCGTAATGTGCAGGAGATCGCTTCATGTTGTCGACCAGTTGAAGCACTGGGAGGCTGGGATCGGGTACCCCTTGCGCACAAAGGGATGAATTTTGCTTCAGACTGGAGCAGGTTTTTCTTCACCTGTCGGATTGATTTCGTACGTTCTTTTGCATCCACTCCGGGCCGCCGTAAATTCGTTTCCGTGTGCTCTCACACGTGGCTGATGATTCTGATCGGCTGGGAGCCAGAGAGGTGCCTGCCAATGCCGTAGTCTTCAATGCCGTACTGAGCAACGTGGCAGCAACATGAAACCTAGCGGCGACCTAGCCCAGTTTTCTGTAGACGTAGATCTATTATGTATAACATGCACTGCAGGTACAGCAGAAGTCTGAGGCGGGGAATGAACTATATACTATAACCAGAATCCAGCATCCAATCCTGTCCGTAAGGTGCCCTGACAGCGGCCCGGAGGCCGGAGCTTGCAAGAAGTCTCCTGGGCGTCATGCACGAAAGGAGAGAAGGGAGCGCAATGCTTGCGTGTAAAGTCTATGATCGTGTTTGCGTGGGTTCGCATTGGAAGAACGTCGTCGTTCCAGGAGTATCGCGCCAACTGTGATCAGCCGCTCGTCCTCCGTGTTACAAAATGCAGGGTTTCCCCATCGTTTGTGCTATTCGCTCTCAGCGTTTTTACTGCCCGGTGAGAACACTTTTCAGCTGCTTCGGGGCTTCGATCTCCCCTGAGACCCCGTACAAAGCTGAGGCTACAACAGCGCAATAGCCGCATGCGAGTCTGTGGGAGCGTGGGAAGAGGCCTGGCATTTGCTGCAGCCTGACGGCATCGATGCAACAACGATCCGCACTGCGAAGTTGGGTCACCATGGTCATCAGCGCATGGAGGAGCATCCACCGGGCTTCTCTTTGGTAAATGAACAGGTGCTTGGCTCTCGCGCCGTAGCAGCGGTCATTTCACCTGCCAAGGATGGAGATGAAGAACAGCCGACTCCTTCCAGATTTGATCAGTGCTTCGGCCTCACTGAGAGCGGAAGATGGAGAAACAGGCAGAGGCTCCAGCACATTTGTCGCAGCGGGGTGAGTTTCACGGTCGTGAGGCGAAAACAACACTTGAAACTTCACGCATGTGTGTTCGAGGACATTATGCCAGGTTCCTCCATCAGGTGGAACTACTTAGTTCGATCCAGCCTCGAGAGGCTCCTGAGCCTCCAAGCGCCTAAGCCCCCAGCCTAGGCCGCCTTAAGTGTATGCAACCGCCTGCAACGCTCCTAAGCGCTCTAGCGTCTCAGCAACTAAGATTTAATTTAGAGGCTTAGAGCTTAGAGACGTGCCGGCAGCCCCAAAGAGCGGCTAAGAGCGCCTACAAGCGCTTCGGCGCACCTAAGAGCGACTAAGCTTCCAACTGCGCCCAACCGCACGACAGCGCGTCAACATAAGCGTGCATCTCAAAGTTATGCCTTGAATTCGTCGGAGGCACTTCGGAAAAGTTGCCAAGCGTGCATCTCAACTTCAGACCCGCTTTGCCCACACGATGGAAGAAGTATGCTTAAAATCTGAAACACACACAGTGTGACGCCTTCACGTTCTCATGTGCCCTAAGGTTCAACGATTAGGCCTCGGCAAGGGGCAGAGTTGATACAGGCAGCGAGGAAGATTCACCGTCTTCGAGTGGCACCCCAAACTTGGTAAGTCCACAGGTGTGTTGGTTCCCTTGGGGGTTCAGCTTGTGCTAGGTCCTCGTGCAGATTGTGTTGCTGTGTTGCTGGAGGCACGACAAAAGCACACACTAACATCAACCTGACCCAAATGAGTGTGTGCCAATTTGCAAGTGATTCGGTCAACGTTTCTTGGTTTTCTGCGTTTGGGGTCTGAGGTTTCAACAGTGCCATCAGCTGCTGCCAGCTGAGCGGCAGCTGGCAAATGGCCTCTCATTTCTTGCTCTCCTTGCGAAAAGCGGAGCTTGCCCCAGACCTTGTGAGCACCTGGGAATGAAACTGAGTTCTGAAGATATCGGCACTGGTTCGGCAGCTTCGGTTTCGCAGCTTAGCTTCTGTTTCAGAACTCGCGTGTGCGGGTTTCGGGCCAAAAGCAGCATCGCCATACCCGATACCAAAGTGACCCTCAGGCTTCGGCGCATTGATTGGGGCTTGTGCTGGCGTCGGACAGTGGCAGCAGGCACGTTGGTCGTGAGGGCCGATTCCTCGGACATAATCGGACGTTCATGGACGTCCTTTCAAACGTTCAGCATCTTCGGCCCGACGCCCTACGCTGTAACACAAGCTCAGGAAGCTTGAGCCTCTGTGCTCAACTGCCAGTACTTGATGGGTCAAATCCTGCCACCACCTCTCGAGATCACGCGGCTGTTGCTGCTGGCTGCATCCCATTGGCACTGCCAAGCCCATGTCGAGTCATTCCGATTCCTGAAGGGCTGCGTGTACTCCTGTCTCGCATGGCATCAGAAGTCAGAGTGAGCATGGACAGTCACTAAACAAGAAGCTGGCTTTTCAGCTTCTGTATAAGCTTTGCCGACTCATGGTATAAGCTTTGCCGATTCATGGACTGAAGCCCTGCGACCAATTCCTTCTCCAGGCTTTGGCATTTGTCTCTTCGATGAATGTGTACCACTTGGTGCCTTGCCCTTGCCGGGGAAGGGGCGCAACTAACACTTTCGGTTCAAGTGTTCGCAGGTTGGCTGCGAGCTGAATTCTGTCTTACTCGTTGAGGAAGTCGTGCATCAATCGCTGAGAGCATTGTCAATCTGTCAATGACAACAGCTTCCATGTGGCGAGGTACCGAATCTGTTGACGGTCAACTCCGTGGCATCGGCATTTGAGACGCTCGGAAAACTAGACTCGAAGCAGAAGGTGTTCGGGCGAGAGGTACTGCATTAGCAGGTGAAGGCCAGTTCGGAGGGAGTTCGGACCTGCAGCATATCACGGCCTCTCATAGAGAGTGTCACCAAGCATCAGTAGCCTTTTGCAGCGGCCCCTGCGGGCGAAGCCTGAAACATCACTGCACACAAATGGTGGTGAGAACATGAGAGTGCAATACTCGAAGGAATCATTGGGGCAGCTGTCTTTTTGTGTTTGTTTGTCGCGGCATCGCGGCACTACTGGAAATAATCTGCCAAAGAGGAAGTCAGAATGTAGATCTCAGACGATCCAGGAAAGGCTGCCAGTGGCAGCGTGTGCTGCGGCTGTTGATGTATGACCCCGACCTCATTACCTACAATTGCGCGCCTGGGCTGCGCCCTCCATGGACACCGGACCGGAAAGTGCCAGTTTTAATGACATCCACTTCATGGCCTTCGTTAATTAACTCGCTTTCTGCGAGGCGCTCCTCGCATGCCAAAGAGCTGGCCAATGGCGGGCAGCTGCGCAACTGCTGGCGACGATGGAAGAGGCTCAGTGTCTTGCGATGTGATCACGGCTCTTGTGCTTGGAGGCTTGTAACAGAGGCCGCACATTCAACATCTTTATCCACTTGGGAGCCGGTCTCTAATCAATTCAGAAGCAGATACAGGCAGCTTCGCAAGTGTGCCTTGAGCTGCAACACCTGTCCCGAGGCCCGTGTGCAGGCAGATCTGGTCAGTCTCTTGTGAATGATTATGGTAAAGCCGACTGGGACAAATTTTGGTGACCCGAGCCCCAGAGCCAGAGCTCCGATAAACCCGCACCCGTGGCGTCTTCTAACACCTCGTATTCCAAGATCTTTGACCTCCGTGACTTGAAATCGCTTACTGCTCGAGGGTAGGTTTTGAACAGGGTCGCTCTTGCTTTCGATTGCTTTTCTTTTGGAAATTACTTCGGAGACACAGAGGAGAATTTGGCAGACTTCGCGACACCGGACCTGATAGTCAGAATCTGGCACTAAGTCACTGGGGTTGTGCTTGCATGGAAACCACTTTCCAAAAAATCCGTGTAAATGCTGCTTCGTCTCGGAGGAATGTGACTGTGAAGCGAAAACACCGCAGGCTCGCCAAAAGCAAAGTGAGTTTCTAGTAGTAGTTTTTCACTTCAAAGGGCCAAAGAAGAGTCGGCTAAGGTTTCAACACCGCCGGTGTCCTGTGTGAGCGACACGGTTGCTGGGAATGGCTCGAGGCACATTGGATCTCTTGTCGTCGCTTCTTTACAGCTCTGCTTTTACTGCACATCTCAGGTGTGCCTGGGTCGACTTGCAGACATGCTGCAGCAGGAGTTGGTAAAGGAAACGGTTGGACCTCCTCACAGGGCTGCACGCCGTCGTCGAAAACAAGAACGGTCCGGATGGGAGAGGGCTTCGAGAGGATCTCCAAGAGTCGGGTTCTTTCTGAGGCTGGATAGTCTGGCTCTGGCCCCGCAGCTTCCCTGCCCTGTTTTTTCGCGAGCCCAGCCTTGGGTTCTTCCACGGTGGTGCGGCTTTGTTACGGTTGTATGACAGGTTCAGCTTCTTCGGGATGATGGCCAAGCAAGTCGCTCTGGAGCATCCCAGCTTCGGTCGGGCGTCTAAGGTTTCTCCTCGATGGGAGCACGAGCTCTTGGAGTGTTTGCTCGCGTGATCTTTCCTTCCACTTCCATAACAACGCACGCTACTCCGCTACTCAAAGAGCAGACTTGCGGAAGGCGTGTTCTTGGCAGACACGGACGCGGAGGTCAGCGAGATCTCCTTTGGCGGATCTTCGGAGGCGGACCTTTAGGGAGAGTGCCTCAACGCATGTGCCGCTCCGATGGCAGGACAAAGTGGCCTCTCCCATGACTTGGGCGCCAGTGGCCTTGCCGGACCTCGGCTATTGGCAGGCAACGCGGTCAGAGAAGTTCAGTCTCGCTTGGATCACATCATGCCATTAGCAGGTGGAGATCAAGGCAATCCGCATCGGTGACAGGCCCGACACTGGTGAGTCGTTGGAGCGAGTGTTGGAAGCTGTGAAGGGTCGATGCAGCCAGCACAGCAGAGTCTGGACATTGTGGCATGCTCCGACATGTTCATTCCGTCTTCACCCAAACTCCGTCTTTGTGAGGACTCTAGACTACTGTGCTGATGGCCAGTGCCGAGCGGTTGTGGACACCGGCCGGGAGCTATGGTACACAACATGCACGGCAAGGAGGAACATACTTGCACTCTCCTCGCATGGTCTTGTGAAGCACAGTTTAGAGAAGCAGTGCAAGGCACCTCGCTTCTTGCAGTTCCAGAAGACTTTGCAGATGGTCTGCAGGAGGTGCCACTGTCGTCCAGTTTCGTAGGAGGTTGGAGGAAGGGCCAGACTTGCACCTCGGAGCAGAGCCTTTCTGGAGGCCCTTGAGCAACGGCTAGAGGATCCGGATCAAGGTCCCGACGGAGGCCGGAGCTTTGGGTTTCAGCATGTCCTCCGGCCGGCATGAGTCACGACACTCTGGGTCTTGGCGAGGACCTCTATAGATTTGCTGTGCTTAAACCGAAATCACGCGTTTGTTTGGCTTAGCGATTCACAGCTTTGCAGCATGCGACCAACTTGCTGCCCCAAAACATGGTAGCTGCATGCGAAACATAGAGCAAGCAAATGTTCAGGATGACTTTGAAAGCTTCTCGAAGCAAGTGGTTGATTCAGAGTTCAGAGCTTGCAAGCACCTGGAACAAAAAGCGCTTTGCACTTTCCACCGGGTTTAGCCGCCATGACAGAGATTCTCGGCCAGTGCCCCAGCTCCAGGGCAGAGCTCGGGCGTGAGAGCCTCTTACAGCGTCCAGGAGGCTTCGTGAAGGATGCCTTTCCGGAGCTGTTTGTGGAGGGCCAGGCCTTGCGAAGTGCTTTGCTTGTAGCATGTCTCCCAACGGCCAACCTGCAACATCCTACACCGATTGGCAGGTTGTTTCAGCAGAGCAGAGTTTCCATAGAAGACTTGCTGAGTACGAGATGAGCCGGAGCTGCACTTGGTGGCGTGATGTAAGCACTCTGCGGTGTCGAACCTGGAAGGAACTTAAATGTACGTACTGAAATGTAGGGGTGCCTGACCACTTGCAGTTGGCCTTGTGGGCAAGGAAGGCAAGCAGGCCAGCGTTTGGCAGCAAACTTCGAAGCTCTCAACTCGATTGCAGAACCAGAATGCTTGGCCATGTTCTTAGGGAACGTAGTGACAACAGTGCAGATCACCTGTGTCGGACAGCGGAACGGTACCCCTTGCGAGACATCAGCAGATTGTCATTGAGCTGTCCTCTTTCGCATCGCCCAAGGAATATCGAGCAGCAGAAGCTTTTTCGCGAGGCAGCACTTAGACGAGCACTCGTCGCGTCGCATCTGGAGTCTGTTTATCTCGTTCGAGATGACCTCAGGACTTGAGAGACCTTGTGGAGCTGACCGTTGGACGTGCCTAGGCCAGTATCATGAAGTTTCACGTTCAACCGGTCCTGCAGGGAAGACCCTGTATGAGATGAGAGAAAACTATATATCAGTGCTGCATGTTTGTATTCTCATGCCGAACAGAACACTGTTGCCTTTGCTTCGTCCGCTGCGTGGCACCCGAATTCCGCCAAGGAATGGATGTTTACCATCTGGTTGGCGCATTGCTGCTGGAGCTGCAGCCTGAGCAGACCTTTACAGAGAGTTACAGCGCAGTCCTCATTCTTACTGCAGCGCATTGAGTTGTAGCTATACTGAACCGGGTGCAGGAAGTTTCTGCGTCACATACGGCAAGTCTTCTTGGCCTGTGTGATCTAGGCCCCCTACGCCACACCCTGCCAAAGTCGTCATGGCTTGGTATACATCGTCCACAGGACAAAGATTGAAGCACCGCACCCTGCGAGACTCTGCGCAGTTGAGGTTTTGCATCCACTTTTATTGCGAGAACCGGATGATCGAGGTCAGCCAGCTAGGAATCTCAAGAAGTCATCCAAGGATGCTCAAACCTAAGGTCCCGTGTTCTCGTCCTGTGCTTAGCAGCATAGCTTTGCCAGCTGCCGATGGCAAGCGATCGCGAGGAAGCCGGGGAGAGTCAGTCCAAAGCCTTCCTGGTGGTGCCTTGGCTGTCTCTTTCTTTCTTTGGGCTTCATGAGATCATGGGATGATCATGGGTCATGGAGATGTACTGTAGACCAACAAGGAGGAGTGAACCCCTAAATCAGTACCTGCTCGGCCAGCCCCAGTCTTTCTGAGGTGTTTTTTCTTCTCTCCAACCTCAGACAGGCTCTCGGAGAGTTTCGAAGCGACGGCCCTTTCGGAGCTTTCGCCCCGACCGAGCCGCCCAGCTCTGCTGAGGTGCCTGCGGCTTCCTGATCTTTTCCGTGACAGGGCCTTAGAAACGCAGCTAAATGTAGTGGGCGTTCCCATGCGTTGCCCCGCTTCCAAGCTTCTGAGGTGGCTTTCCATGCACGCTTCTGTGGCATCTCACTCGATCGGCTCCTGGCTGAGACCAAAATTTCCACAATGCTAAAGGCTCCACCCGTTGCATGTGTTTCGCGCAGAAGCGCAAAGGCCGCGCGAAGCCGTGACACGTGTACGAGCCGGTACGAGAGAACTCAATAAGATCTAGTGATCCAGCGAACATGCGATAACACGATGCGATGCGCAGGCTTTAGGACTCTAGGAGCTTCAAGCTCCTTACAGCACCTTCACGTCCTCGAACTGGACTGTTTGTTGATCCCTACTGGGCGATTGAGGTGTGCGCTTGCTGACCAGCTTTGCGCGTCTCTCCATCCCCACGCGCAAAGAGTTGGAGGAGGCAGGCCTCTAGTATCCACTGTGTACTTGTAGGATCTCTTGGAAAAAACCTTAAGCGATGCCGAACACCCCGGGCGGCCCCGTGGTTACATGTAGACTTTTCGTGTCTGATCGGCGCAGTCGCTTTTGAATATGACCCCGAAGGTGGCAAAGGTCCCCTTGGTGCCAATGCCCGGACCCTGCGTGCTGCAAGTATCTGCAAGTCGCTCGCAACGTCGTGGTGCCTCCGCCGTCCTCCGCATACTCCGAGCTGCAACGCGCTGCAACGCCCTCCGTCCAGACGGGAAGCTTCGAGTCGTCCTCGCTGGCCCAGGGTGGAGCGGTTCCGCCAGCTTGGGAAGCGACTGGGAGTGGCGCAGGCACGCGTTAGCGAAGAGGTGCCTTGCGCAGTTTCTTCTTTTGAAGGGCCGAGCCGGCGAGGGGTCGGCTGGCGATGGCGACGGCTCCGAGACTCGGGAGGCATACAACATCACTCTAGGCTCCTCCGTTGCTCTGTCTATGCGCAGCGGCCAGGGGAGAGAGGGAGCGACACAGAGGGAGGGCAAGACGAAATTTGTGCTGGGGCCGAGTCGAGCCGCAGCGAGACTTTGCGAAACGCTGGACGTCTGCTTGCGCTCGGGTGACCCGATCCCAAGCTGACAAGCAAGCAAGCAAGCACGAAGAAACAATAGCTTAAATAGAGATTCAGAAAGGAGGAAGAGCTTTGGACAGATGGTCACACTTTCGCTGGTGAGCTCCGGAGGCAGCAGTGGCGGCTGTTCGGCAGGAGACTGTAGACCTCGCAAGGCCAGGGTCTGCAGCTGGAGTTGGTTGCAATTGCAGATGCCGTTGACATCCGCCGACCGTTGAAAGACCCTCAAGCAATTTCGCTCCGACTGTTCGCCAAGGGCTGCCGCTGGATTGGGGGCCGTGGCGCATCAGCCTGAGTAGCTAAGTGAGAGGCGCTTTTGCTGGTATTGCGCTGGTATTGCCTCATCTCTGACTTTTGCCAAGGAGTGATCTGGCCATCCAGGAGGGGGCCAAGGTGGCATATGCCGAGACACGCATGGCTCAGTCTTCCAGCTGCGATCAACTATGTGCAGCATGATGTAATCCCGAACCCTGGGGTCAATAGCATCGCTTGTTACTCGCAGGTATCAGCTGTGCCATGAAGCGACAAGCATCTTAGATGCTTTAGGATATGCAGCCTGTCTGCGGGCCACGGGTATGCAATTGACGTGTTATGGCTTGTCAGAAGTGCCGGCAGCAGGCGTTGTCCGACAGGGAATTTCACTTTCGTCGATTCCTCAAGGACCGAAGTGGGCCTCGTGATTTCGGACGGAGGGCCGATTTTCCTAAAAGCAGTAGGAGCGAAAACACACTCCACCCATCTCTGACTACGGGGCCCGATTCAGGAAAACTAATTCGGCAAACCAGGCGGGTCGATTCAGAGAAAACACCGAGTTGAGGACCAACTCAACACTTTTAAAGAGCACAGTCGCATCATCCTCCTGCTGCTGCTGCTGCTGCTGCTCCTCCTGTTGCACTGCCTCTTGTAGTTGGCGAACCTAAGTCATTTCGTTGAGGGATGAAGCTTGCTGCTACAGGGGATCTTCTTTTAGGGTTTGGGATTTGCCAGCAGCACACGACAGCTGCTTTCGGCTCCGGAATCCTGTCAGGGTTTGAATTTGGCTTTGCCACGAAGGCCCGAGACACGCATGCGCTGTCGTTTGAGCTATCGCTTGTTTTCCTGAATCGTTGCTGCTGTTTTGCAGCCACATCCCTTTTCTCCTCACTGCGCTGTTCTTGTGCACACTTCGTGAAATCCTCATGTTATGCGCTCTCAGAGTAAGTCCAGCCAGAGATGCGTGAGGTTTCTGCGGTTTAACATCTTGCTTGCGAGGCAGTATGTACATCCAAGAAAGCCTGCGCCCAATAATTGCAAAGTTTGTCGTCTGCGGACGTACCTGCACTTCTTCACTACAAGCAGAACAAGGTTTCCAGCTTCGCCCGTGCGGTAGTCACCTAGTTTGTTCCTGGCGTGGATGCCTGACCAGTGATGGGCCTCATGGCTTGTTTTTATATTTTCTGTTTGCTCGAGAATCAAGACTTGGTCTTCAGGAGCAGCGTCGATGGCTCTTTTACGATGCATATGCGCGGATCTGCATGGCTTTGGGCCGGAGCCCCAAGCACCAAAGAAGGCTGTTCAAGCTGGATAACGCGCTGAAGAATAGGCCTCCAAGCCATCCTGGACGAACTCTGCAGAAAGATATAGAAAGATGCCAAACTGTGCTGATGATGCGCGAGCGTGCATGCAGGGTGTGGTGCGGTGCAAGCACCTCAGCATAACTAGCGACCCTGCAGGCCTCGTTTGGAGAGACTTGCGTGCATGTTGCTTGCCCAGGGTTCACCACCATTTAAGTTTTTGTCTGTCATCATCATCATCATCATCATCTCCATATTCAGTGGTTAAGGGAAAGCAGAAGTGGCGCCACGAATTAGTCTTGCCTTTGCTTGGCCTGGCCCCGCAGGAACGACGAGTCTGACATCGTCCCTGATTTGCGCCAAAACGCATGATTGTCTCAGGTATGAACCAGTTGCTCTGCGCACTGTCATACTACATCCTCGGAGCAATCGCCGAGGAGGCCGAGAAAGTGACAGGATCTCGTGGGTGGCCATGTCTTGAGGTTTTCTACATGAAGCTTCCTGCGGCAAGCTGTCTGTGTCATCGCACCTCCTCTCCTATGACTCAGTCGGCCTACATGAACTGAAGCGGAAGCAATGGCTCTGGATCTGGGTGCAAACGAAACCCAGCGCAAAGATGACATGGTTTCTCTTTAATCACATCGAATTCATGAGTGCCGCCCGGGAAATCTGCCTTGCCGCCTTGGACAGACTCCCTCCGGTGCTGCAGTATCTCTTTTCGGTGTTCAGTGCTTGTCGAGACCTCAATGCTGAAGCACAGCAGCCGGTACCGTTTCGGTTCAGAGAAGACAGGCAGACACACAGCATTGCTGGCCCAAAATTGTCCATATGAGACCTGACTATACAGGGGCGTTCATTGGATAGTCCAAGGCTTGCTACCGTTTGACCCTTTAACACTGTGTAGTGCCCTGATATTTTGCTTGTGACTTGTGCTGATTAAGGGCTCTTCTTCTTTTGCGATTGGACGTCGCAGAAGGCCTGCCACAACGCTCGAAAGTGAGCAACTGTGTCCCCTGTGTCCTCGCGAGGTCGTGTGCAGAGTTGGGGCGGGGTCATAATGGTGTCGGCGTCCTGGTTCGATGTGCTGGCACTGCCACAGCCTTCAATCGGACTGTGGAGTCAAGAAATCACTCAAGAATGTTCCAACTGAGGCTGGTTTGCATGTCCTTCCCGCCCATGTACATGGGAGCCTCGGACCAGCAAAGTAGAGTTTCACTGCCCACTGGTTCCAGAATTTTAGTTCATGGTTCCTCTGTGCTACACTGATGCGCTTCGGCTGAGGTGTACTGATCCACTTTGTTGACCCGGCGTCCGTGTCGCCCTTGAAGCATAACTTGCGTTGTGCTCGCAAAGTGGGTTTCCAAACTGCGCATCAGCCCATCAGCCGATCGGCTGATCGGCCGATTGACTGGTCGGGTTTAGTGTGGTTTTTATGGTCAGGGGTTTAGGGATTTAGGGGTTTAGAGTTGGCTGATCGGCTGGTCGGATTTAGGGTTTAGGGTGTGTCAGGCGAGGTCACACGATCGGGTGTGGAACACCCCGGGCCGTGCGCTCGCGTTGCTCGTCAATCCACCCCGGCCACCCACACTATACTCCATTAGGGTTTAGGGTTTTTTTTACCAATTTTCTTTCGCATTATTTCTATTCTGGGGTGATATCAGATTCACTTACCTATCTGGCTCCTGGAGGTCCTAGGCCCGTGGGAAATGATCAATTCAAGTATGTTCGGGTTTGGCTGCGGCTGCGGCTGGAAGTAGCCTGGGCCCTTTTCGGGCCTCCGGCATGTGCTTGCCCCTTCAAGCTTTAATTTTCCATTGCGGCCGCGATGGGCGACTGCACGCGAGTACTCGAGCATACGCACGAGTACGCACGAGTACACTCGAGTATGCACGAGTACGCTCGAGTACGCACGAGTACGCTCGAGTACGCACGAGTACGCACGAGTACGCTCGAGTACGCTCGAGTACGCACGAGTACGTTCGAGTATGCACGAGTACGCTCGAGTACGCTCGAGTACGCA